CTATTAATTATAATGTAATTATATATTTTATTTTCTATAAATAACTAACCGTACTTATTACTTTGTCAGCTGGCCAGGCATACATATAGAGTTCCACAAAACCACAAAAAGCTATCATAAGAAATGTCCATTTCACTGTCCATGGTTGACGCTGTTATGCGTAAATATCAAGAAAACATAATATGCATGATGTATAATATGCATGAATACTGTATGTAATGTATTACATTAAACGTGAAACATATAGTTTAGTAAAATCAAACAATTCGTTTTCCATAAACAATAAATGAGAAAATCATACAATATTATTGGCTGCGTTCGGAAACGTCATTCGAATGCCTCTGATGCTTTGGATTCATCATTTTGTCCTTGTTTAACATTAATGTTAAACAAGAGGTCTCTTTTCACTGGCTAAACTAGTGTACATACATACACTTTTGAAACTTAAAGTGAGATAGATGTATGTTTGATATTTATCGAAAGCGAGAAAGAGAGTTCTAGTGCAGTCTAATGCAGGAAAATAGACCAAAGGACAAGATAATGAATCCAAGGCATCCGAGCGCAGCCATTATAAAACAAAATATTTTTTAAAGAACACATAATAACTTTTACACGAAGCACGGTACACTATACTTACACTCATAAAAGTAAGATAACCAAATATTACAGCACCGGTACTAAAAGTCACGCACAATAATGCTACGTAACGAATTGCACAAGATACTTCTTTTGCATATCTATAAATATTCGATTTTAAAAAACATAACTTACTACGTTTAATTTTTTTTTATAATTATATACCTTTTTTCAAATTATATACCTATTATATTATATACCTAAGTAATAGACTATGTTCACGCGTATAATTTACCAGCTCTTTCATATTGGTCATTGTACGAAACTGAACGGATAAAATTTCAAATCTGGCGGCTATAAACCAAAGTAGAAGAGCAGGAAAGGTATTGGTGCTAACTTGGATCACACATTGATAAGCAATTAATATATGATGAGCATAAATGATAGTTTTCAATGGTTGAAGTTGCACATTGAATGGGTATTTCACTTCACACGGAAACGGTTGTGATGAAAATAAAGGCGTGAGTATAACGCTGATGCCTGTCATTGCCAACCAACAAAGAATACTACCTACAGTAACCAATTTATTATTAAGAAATTTGTTTAAATAGTTAAAACTAATACTGTAGCTGCGTTCCGTTTCACGCATGATGCGCATGATACATCTTTTATCCTTGTTTTTCACCGAATATTAAACAAGGATAAATGATGCATTATGCACATCATGCGTGAAACGGAACGCAGCCTATACATACCATAAAATGGTTTGCATTTGTCAATATATCGTTGGAAAATTTTTTTTTCATATTCTTGCGCTCGCTGATAATAAGCCTCCATTTCCAAAATAATAAACTGTGTTATCGAAACTTGTATTAATAGTTCTTTCATAATTTTAAAAATACAAAATATTAATAATATATTCTTAATTAATAAATTGCCTCAATTTTATATACACATACATTAATAATATGTAGTTAATTATGTAACAAAATTTTAAAGAACAGTATAAAAAATATATAATAAGTATTTGTATATTTCTGTTTAAAGAATATATTTACTTTATAAAACAAATAATTTAATCAGAGGTACCAAAGAATTTACGAGTTATCGCCATGTCGTAATGGCCAACGTGTCCCGAAATTTTAAGGTTGATATCCCGAAATTGGTTATTCAAAAGTTGGCCACCCTAGCTATACCCAGTGAAAATGACAATGGAATCGACGTCGAATCGACGTCGATTCCATTGTTATTTCTCACTGATTGTGAGTAGTGGAAAAATACTTGTATCCTTCCACCATGATCAGGGCGAGGATTGATACTGAGCAAGATTCACGAAATGTTGGCAATGGATCTCGACGCGGCGATAACCCATAAACACTTTGGCACCTTTGAAGAAAACACCTGTGAAAGTCTCAAAAGTATTAAATACTTAATTGAATCATTAGACAAAATGTTTTATTTCACGATTTATTTTATAGATATAAACAGTTCTTATAAGTCTGAGCAGAGTATACGATGGATTTTGTTAAGTTATAAAACAGTGTTTTCACCAAATTAATATGAATAAAAATTGTATACCTGCAAACGTTTCTTTTGCATCGCAAAGAGTATCATCTGTAATGGAACTTGTATGATAGCGCTCAACTGACATCCTAATTTCATCACCAGAAGCATATCGTCGTTGTGCTTACAGATTGTCCATACCACCGCAATGGCAACTAGTATCGAATTTGTAACGCAGAAACACTGGAAGGCACTGCGAAGAAGTCTCTGAGGCTTCGTTGCGTTCGGTGGAAGAGGCCAACAGCAAGCGAATATCAAATATACCTTCAGAAAAGCGATTACTCTATCTAGTGTTACCTTTTCCTCCATGTTTAAAACACAACGGAAATTCTAGCTAGCATAGTACGATATAAGCTGTAATCACCCTCGCAATATTGTCAAGATAATTTGCCAGCGAGTAGATAGTATAATAACACTATCGTGAGGCGCCAAATGATGTATATGCGGTACATACGATATAAGCAGTGTTATATCCTGTCTTTGAAGCAAGGTGCATTGTTTCTCAAGGGTTCTCAATGCGTATAATATATTATGACAAAATTTTAACGTTACGTTAATACCGATTACAATTCCATAAATTATAGTATAAATTGAATGTTCAGTTAAATTCGTTGCATTATATTATAAAAATATACATATACTGTAAATAAAACTTCAATTTCAAAAAAATTATAAAAATTTAAATTTTAATAATTTATGCAATTTAATGTTTTAATAAATCATATAAGTTTGATTCATATCATGTTACTCGTGAAAGCTATTGCCCCCCTCCCCTTCAGAGATATCTATAGAACATAAAGCCTTTGTGGAATAAATTTCGTTATTTTACTTATGCACGTCAAAGTTATATTTAATTAAAATATCTCGAAAGAAGTTTTGAAATATTGACGCTTCTCAGTTACTGTGAATTACTTATACCTAGAAAGAGAAGCAACTTTTATGAACACCTAATTATAGATACCTTGCCTTTGCATTTCTCACTAGATAGCAAGACAAAGACTGCTTAATTAATCATATGCATCGAACGCAATGCTGCCGTGTATTTACAAACACTTTCAGGCATTACACATGTTGCAATCTAATGGTAATTGTCTAGTAATAATTAAATCCATTTCAGTGAAGTATAATTAGCAGTGAAATGAAATTGCATGGTCTCTTATGAGACTGTCTACAATGTATCGTGATAAAGATAGTATAGATGAAATAAAGTAAATTCAGCTAAATAAAAGCACAGTATGTATCTAGAAAGATTTGATATAATTTATTTATTAGTACTTGTATTATTATCTAATGATTATAAATTTTATTTATTATCTCTCATGTTTTTATTTTTTAATATTTTCATTTTTAATATTGTTATTAATTTGAACTTTATATTTCATAATCGAATCTAAATTAAAAATTTTAATATAAAAGAATACGTATATATATATATGTATATAATATTATATATAATGCATACATATATATAATATACGATTATATTTTTCTAGCAATTATATACTTACATGATTACATATTTAGTTATATGTATATTATACATATAATACATATAAATATAAATACGTACCCTAACAGCAAAATGTTAGCAGTTTAGGGCCAAATTAGCAATAAACTCGATCAGATTTTGACTATAAAGTCATAGTCATCTGTGCCTGCATTTGGCTATGGATTTATCGACAAAGCTTGCTGACAGGCAAAGTCAGCAGATTGGTGATAGAAACTGAGCAGAGTCTGCTCGAATCAGGTTTTACTCATAGTGGAAGTAATATTACTTCCACCATGGTTCTTCTCTCAATCTACTCTCAATCTGCCGTTAGGATATGCAGGACTTTGCTCGGTTTCTGTTACCAATCTGCTGGCACAGCATGTCTAGCAGGCTTTGTCATATTTCTTATGGGGAGAAATCTTTGTCACATTGTGAGCAATTTGCACATCACAATGTCAGATAATACAAACTCTGTGTACAATTTGTTGCCTTTCTGCAATCAAAAATTGATAGCAGGCTCTACTCAAAATCTATCTCCGCTTGTTACACTTTTTGCTGCTATTAGTACATACAAATTAACAAATCAAACTCCTAACGATTTACTCTTATTATTATAAATACATTATTATGAATCTAGATATCAAACAGATCTTCATCTCACCTCTTCCCCTGCTAATTCGGGACGCAATAAAAGGGACTTTTGACGCGAAGCGACTTTTACCATATTGTAATGTTGGATAGTCTTTGCTTCGCGTGGAAAGCCGTATGCCCCGAAGCAGGGATGTTTCTGTTTTAAAATATATTTTAAAACAGAAAACTTCTGTTTCATAGTTTCATATAGTAGAAAGGAAACATTTTTCAAACTTTTTTGTTAATAACTTTTTAACGAACAGCGACCGCCACCTAAAACCTGTTGGAGGTCACTCAGGGTCATGACCTTGACAACATATGTTAAGGTCAAAGTCATTGGAGAATTATTTTAAATCACTATTTTCTGAACCGAAATACTATAATTTGCACATATGATTATTTTTACTATAAAACAATGATCAATTTTCTAAGAAAAATCAATATTATGTTTAAATTTAACGGACGATATCTTACAAACCAATTATTCAAAATAAATTTTTTTATACTCATTAGGACTGGAGTTTCAACTTTTAAATGAGACACAGCTTATATATTATGATTTTTTGTGCAAAGATGATCACGGTAATCTATGATTTTGATTTAGAAATGAAGTCAATGAACGCGATTTTACTTTTATTTTCAGAAATACCCTCTTTAAACTTATTAAATATACAATTATTACACAAACAAAATATTTGTACAATTTGAACAAACGTAGTCTCACCATATTGGCGCCAATTGGTTAATCCTCATCACTTTCTTCAAGTATAATTCGAAAAGTAGCCAGATAGGAAAAGGCAGTTGAGACATACTAAAATATTGCAAATATAATTTTCTAAATTTAAATTATTTAAATAATTATGTTGTTTAATAAGAAGGATTATATCAATTTTGTTATTTGTATATAAATAATAATAAACGGCATGTTAAAAAAATAAGTTTATTTATATATTTGTTACAAAAAATAGGAGATTTTACTTGCGAGGAACACCAATAAAAACATATTATATATAAATGTTTATAAATAATTTTTCATTTATATTACACATTTACAAAAAAAGTAAAAAAATGACAGTATCTTAAACATGTATATCTATTAAATAATACAAAAATATTTTTATAATTAACAAAAATACTATAATAAAATCGATGACTCACTGAGGCATAATAATTTAATGAAACAGTCGGTAGCATGCAAGGTACATTTACAGCTATAGGTTGTTGCGCACGTAATAAAGTGTGTAAAAAATTTTTTTGGAAATCAACTTTCCCGTCATACCATATCGAATCATATACAGCATGTGCAATATCAGTGCTCTAGAGAGAGAGAATACTCTTAGTTTATTAATTTCTAAATATATCAAACTGTTTTTTTATAAGGTAATTGGGGGGAAGACGCCACACTTAAGCCTTTATTCTTGAATAATTTCTTAATGTTATTGAATTAAATTATGAAAAAATATTACTACTATTCTAGAGACCTTTTTTTATTTACACAAATTTATAAATTTAACATTTAATATTCCATATTATAGGAAAAAATTGATATATCATACCTTGCAAAAGTGGCATCTTTCCCCTATATGTGTGGATAAGACACCTCTTATGGGAGAAGATGTTACAAACAATTAAATAATGCGATGCAATATAAACTTGCATATTTTACTTATTTACAGTCTATAATGAAGAGTTTAAGCTATAAAAACACATAAAGGTATGATAAAACATAAATTGAGGAAATATGAAAGAGAGTAATTTAGGAAGTAAGTTGGACATACTTTTATTCGTTTAAACAGCATTTCATTAACTCAAAATATTTCGATTATATAAAGCATCCAAAATTTTAATTCGTAAAATCATTTTAATGACGGTTTCAAGCAGGAAAAATTGTATTTTATATTTACTGTCATCTTATCCCCAAGTGTAAGAGGAATATTCAATTACAATTTTTACGCATATAAGAATATTACAAATTATAATTTATATTATCCACAGGGATCACTAATTGAAACCGTATATTATTTGCCCGGTTTTACAGCATTGAAATACAGACCTTAGCTATTAACATACCAAATATTACAAAGAGCATGTTTCATCTACCTTTTCGTATTTCGTATAATCTTTTCCAATCGACATTGGCATGAACATGTTCATCTAAGCCGATAACTGCGCAACTGTTTGCCACACGTTTTTGCACAGTCAGTATGGTCAACGCGCTTCTATTTTCTATAAAAAAAACTGTAAATAAAGTGCCGTCTTTCCCCTTATGGTATCTTCCCTCGAATTACCTTACATATAAAACTTACTGCACTTAACAAATGATCGGCTGGCCATGCACATAAATATACTTTTGCGAGAGACGAAACGAAGAAAATTAAAAATGTTGATTTTACTGACATTGGTTGTCGCTATTAAAAAAAAAGATTGCAACAGATGATAATAGATATATGACATGTTATGCTTTGTCGAACGATACTGAAATGTTCTTTAAATTAGTATATGCGAATTACAAAACATCTTTATAGATAAACTTGCATAAATAATGAAAAAATTGTATTATATAAAAGTATTATAACAGGATTTTACATAATTCTAATATACGAGTATAACAAAAACTGAAGAATTTAGTAGATATAATGCTTATATTCATTTTTTTACTAATATAAGTAATTATACTCACGCTAAGAAAAGTGCAACCAGTAAAAATAATAACTATCGTACTGACAGCTAACGACGCTAACATTACATATCGAATAGAAAGAGTAACTTTTCTTCCATACCTGAAATGATATATGTCTATAAAAATTTTGCAGTTAACGTTCATATAAAAAAATAATCACTTATGTTCTTTTTAAATTTTATTCAGTAATAAAAAGAAATATCTGTTTTAGCAGAATTAATTATATTTTAATTAATTTTTATATACAAAATAAAATTAATTATATTAAATCGCATATAAAAATTATTAATTATAATATTTTGGAGTAATAATAGATAGAGTGATGTGTGTACATACTATATATATTATTATATTAATTATATATAATATGTTTTTATATTAATATACATATCGTATATTAATTTTCCACTTGTACTTAAATTTAAGCTTTCTGTTGACAAAGTATTATAAATTATAATTTCAATGTTTCATTATATGTATAGAATAGAATTTTTTTATATTTTCAAAAAATTTTTTCAAGATAAAAGTTTTTACGATATTATTTTATATTTAACTCTAAATTTACCATAATAACTCTTGATGTTCTTCTATACATGCTCGCAACTCGGTAAATTTTGTGACGGCTCGAAATCTATTCGATAAGATATCACATCTCGCTGACACAAACCACAATAGAAGTGCGATAAAAATATTTGAGCATACCTGCGTATAACTTTGATATATGAGTAATATATGATGTAGATAAATGATAATCTTTAAAGGTTGAGAGTCCACAGAAAACGGATATTCTATATCGATGGGAAAAGGATGAGGTTCTACTATAGGACTGATGATGAGCAACAAGCCGGTAACGGTGAAGGCGCATATTGAGCCTATATAAATCGATTTACAACTGTTAATGTATCGATGAAAAATAGTTTTCTCCTCTGGTTTCGCTCGCTTGCAATAGTCTTCCAATTCGTAAATTACGTACTGCAATTGAATCATGACTGTGGTTAAACAGAAATGAGTAAATGTGCAGTTTAGATTACATCTCGTCAATTTTATTGCCCTTTAGATATGTTGTAGGGGATAATGTCATAACTAATTTTCTACAAAAATTAAGTAGGAGACGGCATTGCTTTAGAATAGTTTAGAAGATAAACAAATTAAGTTTTACAATAAATATAGGATTACAATTTTCCATACAAAGCGAAATCCACCTCACATCCTTCCTCCTGTGTTTACAGAGCAAAACGAAATCTATACGATCGTACTGTTTTACATGAGTTTTCGACTTTTCACCATGATGGAAGGGATAACATTTCAATTTATTGCATATGATAGATTTTAGAAACATTTCTATTAAAACATTTCATATGACATATTGCAGAATCCTTTTAGAATTGTTGCACATGAGACGCGAAAGGTTGAAATATTTCTAAAAACTTTCCGCAATAATCGGTGCTGCATGGGTTCACTTCAAATAAAATACTTATTTGATATTTCGTTATTTCATAATTAAACAAAACACTTCTATTTTCTATTTCCTATTTTTTTTTCTATTTCCTATTTTATTTTCTAAACAATATGAAATAGAAAATAGTAAAAGCAAAATAAAAGAAGCAGCGCACATTCCAAAGATATACAGGGTGTCCCGTACACTTCTCGTTAGTAATAGATTCCTGAGATTATTTCGAAACGAAAGTCCTAATACTAAAATATCGAAATGCTGTCAAAATTAACAAGTTACATGCGCGCAAGATTCATGTAACATATGTGTAAAAGTGTCATGTAACATGCTTATAAGATTCATGTAACATGGATGTAAGATTCATGCAATATTCTTGATTTACCTATAGATATCATATGAGATATATTCTTATACGATCTTATATGTTCCTATCCGAAATTCGTATGTGAAAATTTTTTTGGAAGATCTCACAAGAAGTTTTCTTATAAGAATTTGCAACAAGGTTACCCTTACATTTATATCTTATTTTATTCTTTTCAGTAATATAAATGTCAAAATGCGTGCGCAGAAAAGGATTGCCCCGATATTTTGCCTCTCGCACCGTTCTGCCAAACCAGCATATACTATAGAAAAATATATACTGGGTCTATCTTATATGTCTATGGTCGCAAGCAATTGAGTTATTAGGAGGTGCACTGTATGTCGATGCAGAGAATAAAATCTGAAAACGACAATTAACTTTCAATATTTCAAGGTGAGTTTTTCTTCATGAAATCACACTTTCGTAGAATTACTTGTAATTATTATATTGTGTTCTTAAAGTACATGTGTTTGTCTTGATTTACCATGAATTTCGTACAATAGTTGCTACTGGCTTTGGTTTTATTTTGATTGCTTTTCAGAAAGTCCTTGCCGGGCAAAGTGAATCGGGCAAAGTGAATCAATTTGCTGATCACCTATTCGTTTTGCTTGTCACTTACCTATCGTTTGCGCTATTATTTCTGCCTGTTACATTTTTCATCCTTTATTATTATAGATGGTCAGTAATTGTAAAAGAAAAGCTAATCAAGAGAAATCCATCCAGCTTGCCATTAGAGATCTATCTGATGCAAATCTGGAAATTCTGTGAAGAAAACAGCCAGAAAACATATAGCGAACTTAAAACATATATATATTAATCTTTTAATTAATTCATTAACTTGTTAATAGTGCATAAATGCACTGTACCTATCGATGTTCACTTTGCCTGTCTCACTATCCGCTTTACCCGAGTATCAGAATAAAGCGAATAGTTTTACCTATATCCATATCTTTTATTAATGTTTTAAAATTATTAAATGTTTAAAAGTTCTGTTTATTTTAAGCTTGTTCTGTATATTTTAAGCTTGTTCTGTATATTTTAAGCTTTAATAAAGTACAATCAGAATTAGCACATTGTTTCTTGTATCCAGTAGTTTTTTAAAAGCCCTTTTAACTTTAGGGTATCCACTTTTTCCGGGTTTCCCCTGTTTCATATAGGTTTTCAAACATAATCTTTATATTGTTCGTAATATACCTCTTAAACTAATGCCGTTCTCTACTTAAATTTTGTGAGAAATTACTCAGAACATTCTCTGCTAAAAGGTAATAATATCGATGAAAAATGTAATTTAAACTACAAATTTACATAGAATGTTCTTAATATAAACAAAAATACAATAGAATAATAAAGTAATGTTATTTTACAATTTGATTAAATTTCATATCAATCTGCTTATTTTAATATTTCAATTTATAAAAATAAATCAGTTGGTATTACATAATATTTAAATATATAAATTAATATTACATAGGTAATATTTAAATATAAATTTTAAACAAGAAAATAGTAAACAATATATTCTGTTAAATATTAAAATATTTTGTTTATATCAGAAATTACAATGATTTTAAATTAAAACTTAAAAAGTATTGATACATCTAAAAAGAATTAGAAGTATCGAATTTGTATTATCGCACTAGAAGCATCGATCGAGTGACCATGTCTATTTTTATAATATTAATATCTATTATATTTATTATCAATATCGATCATGTTTATTTTTTACTAATATCATATTTCTTATGTAAAAAAAATGAGAATCTAAAATATTTTAACTTATTAATAATTAATGTCCTTTTATTGGCGAAATTTGATTTTTCATCATTTTCTTTATTTTCATAATAATTTATTTGCTTGATTCTTTTAGTGAGCAAACACGTCACTACTAGTATTAATTATCTTATTATTATTATTATTTACTTTTATATTGACTATATAACTAAAATAACGCTTCTTACTTGGAGACGATCGTACTGAATTGAGAAGCAAATTATTTGCAAAGGAACTTCAGTAGTGGTACATAACTCGCAGCATAATTTCATTATCAAAAATAAATCTGACCGATTACTATAAATCGTATATAATATCGCAATCATCATAATCGTCCCGTGTAGAATAGAAAAGTAGCGAAATATTTTATTACGTATTTTTTCACATTTTGTGGCAGTTGGTGGTAATGGCCAGCAACAAGCAAACAATAAATCCGCTTTCAAAAACGCAATAAGTTTCTCCATAGTTATATCCACCATAACAATTGTTTGTCAAATATTGCTTTGTTATAGGTACACAGCGATTTGAACTATCAGGAGAAAATACTATTCACGTTAAAGACACGTATGTATTTAGTTTACTATCTATGTGTATTAACTGTTGGCATAAAATTTCTTCGACGATGTAATATAAGCAACCCCTCTGATACACATTTCCTACTTCATAGTTTTGCTTCGTTCCAAAGCCGTGCATAGGTTTGTGAATTATTCAAGTTAATAATGTATTGACGCTGAACCATAATAGTACAATTATGTTCTTACTTCCCTATATGAATACACATAATCTTAATTAGGGTGAATGCACCGTCTGTGGCCACCTTAAGCATTTATATAACTTTAAGAATTTTTTTTAAATAATACATAAAAAGGAGATACTATTTATTTAAATACATTATTCAATATCTTGGTTTTTAATATTCAAAAAAGTTTTAAGGAAAAAAGCGAATGTATAATGAAAAAGTTAAATAATTGCAAAATTCCATTTTACCTTTTTGGCCACCTATATACCTGCTATCATTACGAGGCTGACTACTAATTACTTGATGGCTACTAGTATTGTCTGCTATACTTGTGTCATACGTAATTATTGATAAATTATTCTACATACCGCGTTTCAGGGATTCTTATCATTTTTTACAAGATGATTGTGTCTTGAGTGTATTCCATAGAAAATCATTTTTTTATAATATGAAAGAGGAAACGTGAAGTTACTTGTCACATTATTAAACAAGAGAAATAATTGCGACGCGCATGTGTCGTGATTGCTGCACACTAGAGCCAACCAAAACTAGAAAAACCTAATAAACAGCGAAGGTGGCCAAAATAGGTACAGTGGCCACAAACGGTGCATTCACCCTACTATATGGATATAAGATAGTTTGAGGATTATAGAATAGTGCGGAAACATATTATATACATATGTATGTATAATACATACCATCAGTATATATGTATAATGTTGATATAAAAAAGATCGCTATCTTATCATATATATGCTTATTTAAAATATATATTTAATGCATTTTATATTAGTAAATACTTAATTGTTAAAAATTGTGAAAATTAACTGTAAGGTTGTGTTCTGCTTTTATATTTTATCGGCCCGAATTCATAGTCGTTTCTCAAATCTCAAGATTCGGTTTCAAATCGCAAATCTCAGATTCCAATCTCAAATCTCCAATCAAAATTTCAGTGCTAGTATCTAATCGTAAAATTGAATTCTTCGTGACTATTCGTGATTGAGAAATGTCAGAATAAAACGTGATGATTAGTGAGGTTACAAAATATAATCGGCTGAACATTTAGAAAATTAATTTTTTAAAGAAAGCGTGAAGTAAAGAATTAAAATATTTATAATATATTTATAATATTTATAATATACAATATATTTATAATAACACTAAAATTAAACTGAAATTTTTACTGAAACTTCTCTGAAATTTGGCTGAAAATGAATTTTTTTCAGCTAAAAATCACTGAAATTAAACTGAAATTTTTTTAAAATGCTGAAATTTTGTTGAAAAGTGTTTGAAAACGTGAAATAATTTCGATGAAATTTTTCCATCAGGGAAAGTTAAGTAATGATATTTTAGAGGTACAAATAAGCTACTCAGTTATAATTCTCTTAGTCAAAAATTCAATTTCAATTACTATGATATATGGTTGTAACCCAATGGGTGCATTCAGTACCACGACCGCTCACTGAGCGCTCAGTGAGCTCTTGTATCTATTGGTCTATATTTTTAGTTCTAACGGAATATGCCAATCAGATGCAAGAGCTCACTGAGCGCTCAGTGAGCGGTTGTAGTACTGAATGCACCCAATGTCTTAAAATGCTAATACGGCTCTCTGATTGGTTCATGCACTAGTTTAAGACCATCTCGAATCTTGAGCAACGTCTATAGATTCCGTCCTTAGAATTGCACTTAGACGCTTTATCGTGACGAATTTGTTATACGAAAATTGACACGAACGTGAGACTGAATGTATCGTAGGTGCGTGAGATATTGGTGTAATAGTATATAAAAACATGTCAATGGGCTGGAAAAACAGCGACATCTAGTGATTTTGTCGGAATTCGAGCTTTACTTAAAGCGGAGAGCACAGACTCTTGCATAACGCGTAACACATAATGCATAAGAAAATAAACCAATCAAAATCCTTCGTTTCCTTCTTTTCCATGAAATAAAGAACTATGATTGGTTGAATTTCTTATGCCTTAAGCTGGTTCTACATTAGTCGCATCGCAGCATCGCAAGCGTTGCGGTCCAATCAACATCAAGCCAGCTCGACTCTGATTGGATCATAACGCTTGCGACATTGCGATGCGACTAATGTAGAACCAGCTTTATGTGTTACGCGTTATGCGGTTATGCAAGAGTCTCCCCGCATTAAGATTCCCTTAACGGTCTTTAGTCGGTATTCATAGTCGGTTCTTATTTTAAGACCGTTTTAAGTAACGTCTTAAAACGTTAATGCGGGTCTCTGGGAATTGGTTCGTGACACCTCAAGGCTGAACTTAAGACGCTCTTGAATATAAGAACTGACTATGGATACCAGCCTTTAATATCTCGTCGGGCCTAAAGATTTAGTACAGATACGAACCACTTTCTCGGATATCTACTTTCGACGATACGATTTTATCGATAGTGTCAGAAAATGTATGTAGTCACGTAGTTCCCAAACTGAAAATGGAAGTACTGGCGGTAGTGTACTGGCGATTTCAACGGTAACAGGAAAAAGACGACATAGCCTTTCTCAGGTTTCTCTGTCATAGTTCTACTGAACGCACCCATTCATAAAATTAGTACTATGATTTGCACATAGAGGCGTTAATAGTGCATCTTCTTTAATATTCTTAACTGAAACAGCGATTTCTAGATGGCGTACGAGTTTGTTTATTATTTCTTGTGCAAATAGTCTAAATGCTGTCAAAGTCAAGACAAATTTTCCTGGCAGTATTAAAGTCGGAGAGAACATCTTCGCGAAGATGGATGAACTATCGAAGCCGCAAATAATTTGCCACATTGAGAAATCGGTTGATTATTCGCTGTTTGATGCAAAGTGGATACCATGCAGCGCAAAATTCGTGGTTATGGGCTCTCGTCCTCGTGGTACCGGTATTATACAGATTTATGAAGTGTCTAGTGGCGAATTAAAGCTTGTCAAAAATATAGAAAGATCTAATCAGATAAAGTGTGGAACATTTAAAGCGTCCAGTCTTCGTGATAGATACCTAGCTACTGGTGATTTCAAGGTTTCTCTTATTCTAACATATCCGTTATGTTCAGTGTTTACGTTAAGGAAGATTTTAATTGCGACATCCATTTGGTTCATAAATTATGAAGATTAATTTTACAGGGTAAATTAAATATTTATAATTTAGAAGATCCTTCAATACCCGTTTATTCGGCTGACGCTCACACACAGATTATAAATGCCATTGACGGAGTAGCAGGTGCTAGTATAGGATGTGGAGCACCAGAATTAGTAACTGGATCTAGAGATGGAAGTGTAAAAGTATGGGATCCTAGGCAAAAGAATCGACCAGTTGCTGTTATGGAACCTAAGGAAGGAGAAAGTCGACGGGACTGTTGGTCAGTTGGATTCGGCAATTCTTACAATTCTGAAGAAAGAGTAGTAGCAGCGGGGTATGATAATGGAGATGTTAAAATGTTCGACTTAAGAGCCATGTCACTGAGATGGGAAAGTAACTTGAAAAATGGAGTTTGCGGTCTTGAATTCGATAGAAAGGATATTCCCATGAATAAGCTAGTTGCTACTACGCTAGAATCCAAATTTTATCTTTTTGACTTGAAGACTCAACATCCTAAAAAAGGTTTTGCTTATCTTGTTGAAAAGGTATTATTTTGAATAAAAATTAATATTTATCTTTCTCTGCAAATATGTATTTACAATCAATTGCATGATTTTAGGCACATAAATCAACGGTATGGCTGGTTAAGCATTTGCCGCAAAATCGTGAATTATTTGCGACATGTGGCGGTGGGGGAACGATTTGTCTTTGGAAATAGTAAATATATATGTTCATATTTTTACAACTACATAATTACATTACTGTAAAAATGCTTGAAAATTCATTGTTTATCGTTTTACAGTAATTATCCAGAGAAAAGAAAAGTTACGGATGCTGACGGTATCGAGGAAGGAATAATGGGCAATATTAGTTTGCTGCAGAACTGTACGCTCTCGTCGCAACCTATTAGTTCTTTGGATTGGAGCCCGGACAAGCAAGGACTTGCTATTTGCACATCGTTTGATCAATGCTTACGTGTTATTATCACTACGAAACTGAATACGTATTGATTAAACAATGCAAAGAAAGTACATGTAAATAAGCTTATACCATTGGAAACAAAAAGTTGACATTTTCACTTTGTACGCTTAAGATAACTATTAAATAAAGAATTTTTTTTGTTTTATATGCAACTTTTTTTATGGTGAAATAGTCAAATAGTAGGAATAACTTTTTAAATTCGTTCGTTAAATGGCATCTCTATCTATCATGATTGAATTCAAGACATCGATTTTTCATTCCCCAACTGCAAGGTATATTGTGCAACGGCAAGCAGAGACGAGAGCGAATTATATGTCATTGGGCCAATCTATTTAGGATCGGACCCTTATTAAGCATCGGCCATTTTGCGCACGAACGTGAATGTTACGCAATATCGCGAGCGATGTCCGCCATTTGAAATGCGTTCGACCCACGCGCTGTCGCTTGCACCTCCATTCCAACGACAACGCGTGAGGGCACAGCATTGCAACCGCGCATGCAAGGTCAGGAATACCTCGGCTTTAATTATATAAATTAGACGTCGTGTCGCCAAGTCCATCTCTCGCTCGCTCGTCGCAATATATATTTATGCTGTTAGGTCCCGCGCCCTTTCGCGTCCAATACAAGTCTGAATGTACATCTTGTTCAATCATTTTGATTGCACAAATTAGGAGTACAAAGAAATTTAATTAAAATAATCACACAATAATTGTAATTTACAATCCATTTTTATTCAAAACATTTTCCTTTTCATTTTTTATAAAATTTCATTGTTTTCTTACAGACATTTTTTTCTATTCCTTATTGCAACATGATAGTACTAGTGTTGCAGATATTTTCAAGGGAAGATTTCGCACCTTTCATGTGTGTGCGCGCGCGCATGTGTGGGATATACATATATAACAAATTTCTTTATTTGCTCAGCACAGAATGTATCTATCGAAAGTTAAAAAAGATCGTATCAAAGGAATAGATCGCTATTCTGGGAGTGTATAAGTATCGGTTGGCTAATTACATAGCGGAATATACATATGTGTATTTACAGGGGCGTGTATATACGAACACGTGAACAAATAGAAAAGTATATGCAATACCTGGTTCCTATTTTTGTTTCTTGATGGCGCACTTGGTGATGCACTTTGCGACGATTTGGTCAACATCCAAGATTTGTATTGCTTTTCCTGTATAATCCCGACTGTATAATCAACGCGATTTAATCTTTAATGGAAAGATCAATTCTTAGAAACTTTAGTTTTTATTAAATATCAAGGCAATATTAGACGTCGTTAAATATTAGATGTCGATAAGTATTTTTATAAGATTTTTCATTAATTGTATTAATTTTTCGAATTTTTAAGAGAAATAATTTTTACTAAAAAATAGTAATTTAATTAATAACTTAAAAATAATCTTTCCATTTAAAAATTGTTCTACTAAACAAGTTATATTATTACTGCTCCACATTTAGTAAACGATGATAGTTGTAACAAGGATCGGTAAATAAAAAAGATTCCAACATGGAAAATATTTATATTTCTCTTAATTTTCTAATAGTAATTTTGGCAGTAGTAAACTTACTTAATATACATATAGTATAACTTATTGTTAGTTAGAACATAAAATCACTGTATATGAGCCAGAGTAAATCATTAAAATGAAAGAAAATTTGATATATAAATATAGTAAGTCTATATTATTGTAAAAAAAAAATAATAAATCAGCGCAACTGGTGTATTAATATTACATATTAGAAAATAAAATTCAAATTTCTTCACTAATAGGACATTGGTTGAAAGAATTTCTAAATGATAAAAAATTGACGATGAAAATATCAAAATGCAAGTTTCTTCATTAATAGGTACATGTGTTGATCTATCTCGAAGCCGTGCAGATTGTTCGCATCACCTTGTAACCTCATCAGCAGACCTCCAAAAGATACATAAGCTGATCTGAAAATAAAATGAAAAACTGGTCAATTCAAGTTTGCGTTATTCTATATAAATATCCGAAATGCCTATCACCTTCGGCACTTGATGCATACTATGATTGTTCAGATACGATTTAATATTATGATTTTTAAATATGCTTAAAATTGAACTTATATTCATACGGCTTTTTTTCTTGTTTGGGCTCTAACGCTAACATAAAGTATTGATAAACACATAGTTAAAAAATATCTTGTATAATACGCAAAGCGAAAAGATTTTTAAATAACAATTTTAACTTCGAATTATTAGTGTCAATATTCATCTGGTTATCTTCATTTTAAATTTCCGGCGATTTTAAACAATTTTCATATCCAAGAAATTTTCAAGATCGTCAACAATGCTTCTCCTGGTAGCAGCAGATTTGCGACCGTCATAATTGCAGTGCCGATAGCGGTCGTGATATATAGATTGATCACACAACCAGCTAACCACACTGCCAACATGCCGATCGCTATACATATATGTTTGTGTATATATGTATATATATATATATATATATATATATAAAGGAAATTCCTCCTTTAAACGATTAAGAAAGATGTATCTGTTGGACCGATGTGCCTCCAAATATTCCGCTCTTCAAGCTCGACTGATGATAATTTTCTTCTTCATGTAACTTCTTCATTTTATCTTTCTTTTTATAACGCATATGTATCAAACATCAAGGCTTTACAACAATATTAGTGTTTTAGTACATTAGTGATACAAGTCGTTCAAAAGTGTATTGTATTAAAATCAAATAAAATGCGGACAATTGAAATAATGTGTATACAAACTTGAGATTAAAAATTGACATAATGAAAACAATGCATAAATTTATATAGAGCAACTAAACGCCAAAATTATCGACTGCGCAGACTTTCGCAATGAGACAGCACTAAACCTTTTCCATCACTTGACAATCAGTTAACTACTTACATAATTATTATAACATCTTGAAATTAAACATTCAATTCCTTGAAAGCATATATTTTCAAAAAATAACACGTTAACTTCAATATTATAGAAGTGATAGAATGCTTAAGTGCGCATCGACATTAAGGATGTTTTATACATATTTTCAAAACGATAACAAAATTATAAAAAAATTACAGATTATTCTAAATCACGTTTAAACATAATATGATAAATTTGATGAAGGTTTACTATCTCTGGATCATAAATTATTTTAATAAACAACTTATATATTAACGAAAGTTATTTTAATAGCAGTATTTTTTAAATCTGTGCTCTAATAAAAATATATGGAAATTATAAAATAAATCATAAACAATGTTTTAATATAAATACATTATGTATTCAGGATTGTTTATTGTAGAGTTACATTGCGATGCATGAACTAGTTATCCAGTAAATAAACAAAATATTTATTTTTTTCTATATCTTTGAAACTAATCTCAGTGAATCGCAATGAAACTTTGCATAAATTATTTTGAATATTTAAAGTACTTATAAAAGAACAATGTAAATTTTTTTATCAGTTTTTAAATTTTCATTTTTAACAACAAGAATAATAACAAATAAAATAAATAAACTACAAAAATGAATTATTAAACAAAAATATAATCTTATGACGAAGATATTCGATTGGAAGAACTAGTGCGCACTGGTGTGTATTAAAGCCGTTGTACATTAATTTGAGTATAAAAATGAAATGCAAATATTTCGAATTATGAAATACATATTTTACCTAACAGTATAATAAAATGTATTAAGTATTTCACGATTTAATCGATTTGTTTATTTATAATCTTTACGTTATTTTGTGTGCGACGGCTTTAACGTGCACCAGTGCGCACTGAGTGCGTCCAATCGAATTCGCTATTATTCACACAACTGTCATATGTGTGTAGTTGACTTGAAGTGTAAATATTAAACATATGTCTAATATATCCTTAAATGTACAATCAGACAAGAATGTATCACACGTACAGTCCCTGCAAAAAAAATTAAATTTGGAAGTATGTTTAATATTTACACTTCAAATAAACTATATGTATACATATGAAAATTGTGTGAATAAGATTATATTTTTGTTTAATAACACATTTTTGTAGTTTATTTTATTATTTTTATTGTTAAAAATTAAAATTTAAAAATGAATAAAAAATTTACATTTTTCTTTTACAAGTACTTTAAATATTCAAAATAATTTATGCAAAGTTTTATTGCGATTCACTAATTAGTTATAAAGATATAGAACAAATAAATATTTTGTTTATTTACTGGTCATGCATGACAATATAATTCTACGTAAATAATCTTGAATACATAATGTACTTACATTTAAAAATTGAGATTTTTATTATTCATTTTATAATACATTTCCATATTTATATCAGAGCACAGATTGAAAAAATACTACTATTTATTAAAATAACTTATGATCCATCCAGATAATAAACCGCCACCAAATTTGTCGTATTATTTTTAAACGTAATTTATAGAATAATCTGTAATTTTTTTTCATAATTTTATTATCATTTATGTTTGAAAATATGTTATAAAACATCCTAAATTGTATATCATTTTGATAATGCTTACAAAATGCATTCTACGAAACTCATCATGCTAACGTACATACATTATATACAAAAACACACATAAAATCCAAATTTTGCGAGACTTGTGAGAAACGGGAAAGAAAATGTGCGCAAATACCGAAGGAAACTCTCGCGGCACATGTTTTACGAGATTTCCTTATCGATTGACCTTGCCTTTGTCGAATCTCTGACTCTAAGAAGCACTCCACTTCTATAAGAGGCAATTATTTTTAGCCAAGTTCGAGCTTCCACTTACACTCTGGCTTCCTCCTCTCTCTCCCTCTCCTCTCTCTTCTTTTCGTCTACATAAAAAGCTTTAAAAGATACTGTGCATTACTAATCGTCGTAATAGGTAACTTAACCAAATATATCCATTACACACAAATGCAACAGTAATTATAATAATTTTTTTATCTATAAAAATTATGTTTGCTTGTTAATATCTTAAAATGACAAAGACGTAAATACTTTTTAAAATATTTAATTTCTTTTTCATTAGATTTTAAATTTATGTATACACGAATATGTTTCTAAAGCAGAGCTGGGATTTAGTTGCATATTTCGGCCGATTTTCAGATTGATTTCTGCCCCTTACCTCAATTAATCTGAAAATCGGCCGAAATGTGCAACTAAATCCCAGTTCTGTTCTAAAGTAATCATCCTTTGTTTTATCTACATCTCATTTATTCGAAGCAACTACTTCTTTTACTGATAATGTTTTCGATTAAATATTTATTCTTCCTCTCTCTCTCTCTCTCTTTCAAGTAATTAAAAAAATGTTTTACTTCGATAAGTAATGTAATAGCTCATTGAGCGATTTAACTTCTTTTGTATCTACAAACTTATCAAATATGACAGATAAAATGAATGAAAATAGATGAAGTGAAAAAACAAGTTTTCTCGGCTAAAATTATTAAACTCCATTTACAAATAAATAATTTAATTTTAAACTAATATCTATTCTAATAGGGGGGGGGGTTATATTAATTATTTTATATTAATAATATTTACGAAGATGGTTCGATACGTTATTAAATAATTTTGAAAAACTGTAAATATCTCTTATTTTGGATCTGGATACTATAAGAAAAAGAGAATTTTCAAAACTATATAATTTACTTCTATTGATAAATTAATAACTAATAAAGGCGCTGGTGAAATTAAATGAAAAACGCATCAGATGATTTTTATTGCCATTTGATACAACAATATATGATCCTATGTATAAGCAATGTGTATTTATGTATGCACATAAATTGTTACGTTTATGTGAAGCCTTGTTACATGAAACGAATATGCAACAAGCACTCTTCCATTAACAAATCTCTCGTCACGAACGGTCAAACGCCATTACGCTATTTATTCATAGGGAACTGTCATTGCCGATGATATCGCATTAAAAAAAAGAATATTTATCAATGCAGTATGCATTCGTTCGCTTAATTGCGCATCCCTTCCTCCACAAGATATTACATCTCGGAACAAAAAGGAGGAAACAGGATGAAAAGCGGCAATAACAGTTTTTTTTTTTTTTTTTTTTAGGATGTATTTATTGCAGCTCATACACATTGTGCAGTTTCGAACAGATTTTTCATAAAATTATTTTCTACAGAATCGACCGATTTCATGGAAATTCATATTACACATTTACCGTCCAAAGATTAAATTTACGCAACAAATGTCAATTAGTATATTATCTATCGTTAATTATTGTTTCAGACAAATTTGATATTTCTGAATAAAAATTACCAATACGATAATACAATATTTTATACATGTAAATTAATTTTAAATTAATATTTTTCTCCAAAGAAATACTTGTGATAATATTCTTAACCTTATAACGCATATTTCGCTGTTATTCGTTATAATTGTAATAATTATACTTCAAACAGAGAAAAACTTGACAAAGAATAATGGATGTAATTTCCTATGCTCTACTTACAAAATTACAGAAAGATAATTCGTACGAATTCTATCATAATATCGATTTTGTCATTAAAAGAGTAATATTTAAACCAGAGACGAAAAATATAATTGAATCGTGAAACACTGAAAATTGATAATATTGTTTGATAGATTTTATAAAAACCAAAATTTTAATTAAAGTTTATTATGAAATATTAATGTAATCGAAAATCTAAAACTGTTAAAAAAAATTCAAGGATCTTATCTCTGATTTAAACTTTCTCTCGAATCCGGGATCGTTACTAACATAAATATATATAAAGTCCTGAAAATCCTGTGTAAAAAAATATAATTCTTATAAAGATATTAGTATATAATATACATCGAAATATGAAATATACACAGTATAATCATCACAAGCTTTGCAAGTTTTGAAATAATCTAAAGGATACGTAAAATTTCTAATATCACTCTCTTGCGCTTGTGACGAAAATACCATTGCATGTAGTC